GATGAAAAAAAAACGACATGTTTTGAAACAACATTACGTATTTAACGCGCATTAATAACGAATCTTATAAAAAAAAAATAAAAATACAAATACAACCGTAAACAAAAAAACGCACGACATGTGTGCTTTCACATTGCGTTAACGATTTTGTTCGAATTGCACCCGACAACTTTAAAACAATGTGAAAAGAAATTGAGTGCGCCAAGAGTTTAAATAAACGATGATATTTAAAATACGCTTATCGATATCGACGTTCAGAATGATCTTTACGCTCGACGAGAACGCGATTCTCCACTTGTGCACCCTTGTGGATCTCCAGGAATCTATTCTAAGCGGTTATTAATTGATGCTCTCTCTCGTGCGCGCGCGCGCGCGCGGTCAGAGACGGGGTCGGTCCAACCACTCGGTGCCAGAAGCAATCGTACTTCGTCATTCCACCCCGAAAACTATGAGGCGTTTAATTAACTCCCGGGATGCCGTGAAAGAGAGACCGGGAGAATTCACATGCAAATGTTCCGTGACACACGTACGAAAGAAACCCATTTCTTTTTCCAACCGGAACTCGACTACCAGAACAGCTTCCATAGACTTCTAACACTTCGCGCGAACTAAATTTCATTCGGAAATATTGCTGTCTCAGCGCGGAAAGAAACTTTTTCTTAAACAGTTGGTATAAAATGATGCAAACGCGAAAATGCAAAACTTTACTTGTCTCTCGAATGTGTCTCATTCTCTTGATAAATAAAGAGCGTTTAAGGAAAATGACGTCTCAGGTTACATAAGGTAGAGTAATTTTCAAAAATGTCTGAATAAAGATTTTCAAGAAGTGTACTGTTACAACAATATAATATTATAAACAAACTTACGACGAGATAAATTGTTAATTATATCATATCCCGATGAGATGTAATGCAAACAATGAACGCGCTTATAATGCGTATCGATAGCCGGTATCTATTTTTACATGATTTACCACTGGTGCGAATCCGATGCGCAAATGAGTCACGTTGGGAAAAACAATGAACGCAATCGCGTAATCGCGAGTGGCAAAGTAGTCTGCGTCACGCATAGGTCAGTCAGAAAGTGAAAAATGTTGTAATCAAGCGTGCGCTTCCAATGACATGGTTTCTTTAATTGTACATAATTACATAGTGTAGTTCTTTGTATGCTTATTATATTTGTATTCGGGCTTTAAGTATAATTTTCTCTCCATTTTCTTGCAATAATTAATGTATTTTGTGATATATATATATATCACATAAAACACATATTTCTGTGATTCCGAAATTTTGAAAATAAAAAAAGAAGATCCATGTGCGCATATATATACACACATGTAAATACTTGATTTTTTTCACATTGCGTGTAACATTAATATGTGTATATATGTATAAATGTATGTAGTAAAATGTTTCAACGAGGTCATAATAAATGTACGACGCATTATTACGCCATATAGTCGTGTTTACCTTCATGAGAAATTTCAATTTTAATAAGAATAATGTTAAAATGTATCTTTGCATTTTGCACGTATCAGAGCTTTGTGCGTATCATTTTCAGATATTATCGTTACATGAGTAAAGTGTAAAACGTTTGAGCCAGGAAATTAAAAACGATATATCCTACATCGTTTAATGTTTAATTTATATTCCTGCCATGCGACGCATTAAATCTCAAATTATTATACAGCGGATATTCAACGTTTTTCCAATAAGTGGCATTTATAAGCCAGAGAGAAATGAAACTTTGTGCGAGATCGCGATTTACGCGCTAGTATTCCGCTCACGCATTGTACAAACGCGGAACATAAGAACGCGATTAATCGTGAGTGAGAGACTGTCGAGAGAGAGAATGAAATATCGAGAAGCGCGTCGGGGAAAAGAAAAACGAAGGAACGGGATGACAAGCCGATCACCCGGCTTTAACAGTTCGAACTCCTTCACAAGAGGCGAATGCCGCCGTTGCCGGATAAGATCACGTCACGGGATGACAGGAAAGTTGCTTCCCACCACCACCCTTTCACGCCGTCCATTCCCTGCATATAACACACACCCACACACATACAAAAGTGACTGTCCGCTTCGAACGGCGGTCGAAAGACAAGATAATATACATATATGTGTGTATTTGTGTGTGTATCGAGACGAGGAAAAAAAATTACTAAATCCCACCTGAATCAGTGGTCCATTGAGCGGTGGTTTGATATCGCCAAAGGATATCTCTGTTCCTTTGAAAGGAAGCCCGACGGATTTGAAGGAAGAAGGATACTGTACCGAAGGGGGTGGGTCTTTGAGAAGAAGCGGAAGGAGATCCCGAGGATCCAAAAAGGAAGGACGTGGAGGAAAGGAACAGAAGAAAAGAGAGCGAGAGAAGAGAGAGCTTACATATATTTTATATATATACATACACACACATATATATATATATATATATATCCTTTCTGACAATACATATATATCTTGTGTTCCGGGATAAGCGCGAGGGAGAGAGTGCTGACTGGCAGACAGCTCCTGTCTACCAGATATCCAAGCGAAAACTACCGCTGTGTACTATCAGCCATCCAATAAAGAGATCCACTTCTTCTGTAAATCACAGAAAGAAGAAAGCAAAGCACGCGCGTAGAAGTCGGTACTTTCTACGAACGTTTCAATGACGTACACTTATAAAACTTCTCTTTTGTGACCGGGCGTAACCAATCGAGAAATATCCTGATAAGCACAAAGATGAACTCTATGTTTGAAATTAGATATGTATACTGAGTTTTTTTTCTCTATTCCATGGCACACTTAACGCGAATACAGAGAATAATAAAATTTTTATTTTATAGAGATTTTAAATTATGTTATCATAAGAACAAAATACGAATTCATAGAAAGTTTATATATTCAATTGTGTCAGACTTTTTGCAAATTTACATTTTTCACAAGACATTTTTCTACAAAGATTCGTTGCTTTGTAGAAAAATCTCTCAATACATCATCGACAAAACTGATTTGTTTTACTGTGATGTTAAAAAATAGTTGTATATATATATATATGTATATATCTTCGCGCTACATCTCCCGCGTGTTACACAACGCAATCAATCGATCGCGAGTATCGCTAACAGGGAATCGTTCGCTGTTGTAACAAGAACGCTCGTTTTCGCTGCGTAAAGTGCCTTTCGTACTTTTTTTTTTACGAGAGAACACGATATAAAGAACTCGCCGTAAAAATCTCTCTTACGGGCGCGCAGCCCCCTAAGTTATTCGCTTTAGTCGATCGGTGGGGCGGCCGTAAACGAGAGCGATTTATGCCAAACCCCGAACGATGACTCGCGGCGATCGTAATGGGACACCCGTTAGAATGGACCGTAGGCGGCGGACAGCGCGCGTTTTGCGGTGACAGAGCGTGTCTGATGGAGGGTTGTCACGGTGCGGGAGCACCCCTCAGACTTCGATATTAAAGCCCTCCTAATATAAGAGCAAAAGCTCTGCTCTCTACCGTCGATATGCTCGCTTCAAACCTCTTTCCCCTTCCCAGAGGCAGCGGATATCGCGCTTGTGTGTCGTTATATTCATACGTGTGCGCCCGATAAAAGGGGAAATATGAAAGAGAGAGGAGAGGGGGAAAGGCAGACGAACCGAGGGTAGTCCCGGACTAAGCGCGGACTCCTACGATCGCTGAGATTTTTTTTAAGCATCGGCTCAGGCAAGAGAAATCTGTTTGAGAGGATATGTCTGTGTTTTAATTTGTATTCTTCTTGTGATGAGAGGGAGAAGAAACGGGAGAGATAAGCTGGATTAACTCGCGAATAAGTGAGCACGGTCTGCGAAACAAAAGCAAAGAAGGAACATTAATTGTAAGTAAAATATACAAGTAAAATATGAGAAATCCCGTAGTCAGAAAAAATATCTCACTAGCGAGCGCCAAGTAGGACAATTAGATGTTATAAAGAGTGATAATGTTTCTTTTTTAACTTCTTGCAAATTAAATTTTTTTAACGCGAGCTGTCCACTCTCTAAAGTAAATTTGTTTATTGTGCAGGTTTTTCTTCTGTGCAATATAATAGAAAATGGAATGAAAATCCACTCGCAAGTTTTCAGATGTGTGTTAGATTCGAAGAACTATCGAAAAGAAGGAGAAGAATCGACTGTCCTCAATAAAGTTCTCGTGAGAATAGTCACACACATTCTTTTTTGATAAATTCTTTAAAAATTTTCCAACTTCTTCAAACAGAAAAACATATCCCACAATTTTCAATTTTTATTTTGTTTTTTTAGATAATAAATATTGGGGATAAATATTAAGACACGGGTGTGTTTGTAAATTTCGATATTTTTTACGCACTCATCAACGTGACATTATTAAGCGCGCGCGCGTGCGTTTGTGCGTGCGTGCGTGCGTGTGTTTACTCGTCTGGATTTGCGGCGAGCGAGATACCAGCGAGAGATAAAGAAATGTCGAATCGCACGCGCGTTTAGACTGGTGTGTACTCGGAATGAAGAGAAGCGGGAAAGAGAGAAGAGAAAGCCGAGAAAAGGGAGACTCGCCACCCACACGTGCGTGTGCACGCACGTGTACGCGCGCATTCACACGATCGCGTACACACCGTTCCCTCAGACTCGGCTTCCGTATCCATCTCATACGCTCCATTGACCCCGAATGCACGTCTCCCTTCCCCGATAGAGCTTCCCTGGACCTTCTCAAAAATCAAGTTATCTCTACTATTCTTCTCGCGTCTCGTAGCATTTGGAATAAAACGCGCGATATAACTATATACAACCGTCGAACGGAGAAACGCCTTCTTACGTATATATATCGCGCGATTTCCCCGCGATAAAACACCGAAAATTCATCGCGCAAAATCTCGAACGCGGGAAACTCGTTCGTCGAATGAATTTTCGCGCAATTAAAATATGAAATAAATAATTTCGAAGCAAATCTCATTTTGCGCTGAAAAATTAATATACATGTTAAAAAACTGATTTTGACGATATCGAGATCGATCGTTTACTCACGGTAAATCTTCTGCACCAAACGCTCAACCACTTGATATCGCGTATGCGCTTGCCTCCCGGTAACCTCAGAATGATGTCGGTGTAATTGTACGCCTGCAGCACTTGCGGGTCACTATTTAGGAAATAAAAAGAAAAAGAATCTTAGTGCGACTTATAACTGTTGATTATAACGACTGATTTGATTGATTTCACGCCTCCTGGCGTTGTCGTCGGATCTACATTTCATGCGAATCATCAAGTGCGCAGGATCCGAAAGGGTTGCGGAACGAAGAAGATATAGGAGAGGGAGGGGAGTTGTGCATGCGGTCAGGGATGCAGGGGACCGAAAGAAAGGGTAGTGACGGAAGGTGGTGAGAGTAATGCAGGACGAAGCGCGCGGCAGTCCGTAACCAAGGGATGAAATGAAATTCAAAGAGCCCGTTGCGAGCGCGGTCGTATATGCGGAAAGGGTGCCCCGGCAATAGTGGAAAAAAAGAGAGGGGGAAGGGATGGAAACAGAAGGAAAAGGCCGAACGAAATGAGTCGTGCGCGGGAGAGTGCAGTTCATAAAATGGGAATTATACGCCAATCTCGTTCGGATTTCATCTGCGCGAGCACTTTATTACGTTTCTGCTCGGCTACTTTCTACTACTCGCTCTAGCGCATCTGGAGAGTATCGTTTAGTCAATTTCTTTTTTCCTTTTTTCTACGTAAAAACATAATATAAATATGTCGGATTATTTCGCACAAATATTGGCAGTTACCTGTCCTTATCAGTCTCGGGGTAAGGTACGATGTAACCGTCTGGATTGGGCATGGAAGTGTTACCAACCCAGAAGTAAGCGTCCGGGCCGGTGCCGTCGTAGCAAAATCCTTTTATGAATAATGTTGCGTCATCAACAGCGTACACTTTACCTTTGATACCGTGCGCGTATTCTTGCAACGTCCCGATCAGCTTGCCGTAATAATTGGGCCCGTTTCTAGCGTAACCTGAAAGCAAAAAAGTAAACATTTACGCGTTTATCGAGAGATTGTAAAACATATAAACTGCAGAAATAAAACTGGCTTAATTATTACAATTCTTCTTGCGCGTCCGCAATATTTCTTAAAATTTCTAAAATTTTCTAATTGCTAGTTTCTCGAATTTTTTTCTTAATATATTTTTGCTTGGTTTTGTTAGCGCGCGTATAAATAATTTGTTTTTATTTAACCAAAACTTTCTCAAGAAGTAACCATTAAGTCATTCCGCGAATTTTGTCTAAACGAGCAGCGGACTGGGACACTGAGTTTCACCCTCGTGATGTAGGTTGGACGCATCACCGCCCCGATACAAAACCGATGCGATGCCGCCTCGACAGCGCAAAGGGAAACCAACGCGGCGCGGTTCCGTGATTTGCATGAATTTCATTTCATTTGCTCGACAGGTCCGTAAAGCCGGGCGCTGTAAATGTATGTATATGTATCGGAAGACCTAGCCGCGACAATAAAGATCAGAGGGTGTTTATACGGTTCGAAGCCTTATATCTATAATCACGCATTGGGGAAGAGAGGGAAGGAGGGAGTAAGTTTTTAAAGTCGGAACTCGCAAACTTAAATCGAGTATACGTGATCGGTAACAGAGAGCGTACAGATTTGATGTGAAAAAGCAGAATTAAATTAACGGATTAGAACTTGGTCTTTAACTTGGTTTCTCCCCTTGGGGAACCAGTCCATCGAACTCGCGCAGACCGAAAGTCTGTCCTCCCACTTTGCTGTTTTTTAATTTGCTGTTGAATTAAATGAATGAAATATAAATTAGCGACACAAAAAGTTACAAATTTTATTACACTTAAAAAAATATAAAGTAGAAAACAATATCAACGTACAGTAAATGTGCGACATTTATTTCCACCGAAAAAAATGTTATTATATATATATATATATATATATATATAATAATTACGTTAAGGAAAATTGCAATAATTACTATCTTAATATAAAAATATAACAAATATTTTTTTATTACATAGCTTTTGCAATCTTTAATATTTAATATTTAAAATACGATTTATATCGAAGTGAAAAGTTCCGTAAGTTAGAAGCGATATCAGAATTTCTCCAACAATGATCGTTCAAGAGCCCTGTGTATATATGGAATATAAGTGGCGCGCCGGCGTTTCTGTATTTAAAGTAACGGCCCGTTGGCGTCGTTGTAGCGCGTTAATTCGTCCCGGTGATTATGGATCCATTAGCGTGGCAGCCAACAAATAGCACGGTACAATCCAATAACCGTCGCGGGCTATAATAAAAGGGGAGGAACAGGTTTAGGCACCAGTCGGGGGTAGTTTAGTCGGTGGCGCATTGTCGCCTGCACACACGTACACACGTACATACACACTCGCGTGCACGTGTCCGTATGAAAGCATCCACACAGCCATACGCGTGTCCACGGGATTCGCAAGGGTGGCTCGACACCCCCATACAGGACGCATCAGATAGCGATCGTTGCGTTCATTGTCGCATCATCGCAATATCCTGCCGCTACAACGGGAGGATGGGACAAGGAGGTATCGTTGTAGACGAAGAAACGTGGTACCGAAGTTCCCCCGTCTGTGTCCAAGTACCGAACGGGGTGGACGAGGCGATAGAGGGATGGGATAAAAGCTTTCACACAGTGTACGCGTCATTTCTGAAGACCAATATCAACGACGTTTTGATCATCAACCTACTTCTTCAGACATGTCAAAGAACGCTAGCTGAGGACGCTTGAATTTACTGTCGATATTTCTTTGATATATTGTGTGTATAAGCAGATAATTTCTACTCGTTTCGAAAGAATTAATTTCCACGCCTATTCAGATCTTGTTGCACAATTTGTTTGAACGATTCAAGAGAAATAAACTCTCCGGGCCCGATTACTCGCGTATAACCAAATTTTTGAAGTTTAAATAAACACTTTACACGCTATACATATATATATATGAGATGTCAATGAAATATTTAAATATTACGCATATATATTATTTCCAATATCTGGATTTGACTTTTAGAAGTCTTAAATTTTTTTATTTCGACATGTATAAAATTAATTTCGATCATTTCCCTATTGATCACGCACATTCTCCTCATTTAACTGGCCCGTCGCACAAATGAAAACTCACCCGCGAGATTCGTCTGAAAGCAGAATATGGTGCTAGAACGGTCGAGGGAGTTCGGTCAACATTTGAGCACGGTAAACAGCACCCACTTGTCGATACCCCTCCCTACGTCTACCTATTTCACTCACTCACTCACTATCTCTCCCTCTCTCTCTCTCTCTCTCTCTCTCTTTCTCTCTCTCTCTCTATCCGTCTCTCCACCGATCAGCTTCCGGTTGCGCATAGGTCCTTGGAATAGTCCCCCGACACACATTGATCTTAGGTAGGGTCGTCTTATGGGTCTCCGCGGAGGGAATATCTTAGCCCGGGGCGTCCACGACACAAAGCATATTGCATACGTCGCAAATATACGCGTAACGTCGCCGCGAGCGCAAGGTTCGTTAGCGCATGATGGACACTCTTTGATATATGTATCTAGTTATCGATCGAGATAGATATATCCTGAATTCTCTTTTTATTTATCTGACAGAGAAGAAATTTCGATCGAAAATTCCTCCCTCGTAATGAGCTGGGTACACAAAAGTGCATTAATGTCATCTCCAGTGCTTGCATCCGTGCGGCAATAAAATTGTTTATCTGAGAAAAGCATATTTTTCCATATCCGTACATTTCTATTATTCTCGCGACCGCAAGTAAGTACCGAAGGTATCCCGTATATGGAAATTCAAGTCCCGTCGCTCTTAAGTGAGTTTTTACGCCCACGTCGAAAGTTTTTACACAGACCTGTATAATCTCTGAATTTCATTCCGCGGCACGGTCACGGATCATCGGTAAAAAGAAAAAAAAGAAAAAAAAACAATTTTTCTCTCAGCCGGTTTCAAGTGTTCATTTGAGCGGCGTCGATTGTGCGCGCGCGGAATTAACGCCGGTTAGACGCGTTCCTGGGCGAGTCAGCGTGCGACCGGTTTAGTTTGCAAATAGATACGTGCACAATCTGGCTTTCACTTTCATCGTCGAGCGCAGATCGCGCGATGCGGTCGAGCTACGACGACGAAGCCAAGCCTCGCGCCGCCTGTCGATATATCGCGCGTTCGATTGCGAGAGCGAGCAATACATTGGCGAGGTGTGTTTTCAGGTGATTCCCCTCGTCGATCCGAACAAATATATGCGATTCTTTTTCCGTAAGAGAGAAAGTAAACGGGGGGGACGGGGCGGCTCGAGGAGGAGAGACTCAGTGACTTGGGACGTTAACGAGACTAACCGGATTCATCGCGCGGCGGCGGCGGCGGCGGCGGCGGCAGCAGCACAGCAACGGCAGACGTAGAGCGACGGGGAAACACCGAAGAAAGGAGAGCACTCGGGCGACGGCACTGATTTTAATCAAGATATGGCCTGGCAGCAGCCAACGGCGGATCAAGCGAGCCGGGGCTTATCGATTTTCTAAGTGCTCCCCGACCGACACACACAGTCGTCGCGACACAGGCGTCAATTTGAAAGTAACGGAAAGAGAAATTTGCACGCGAGATATTTCATTCTTCAGTCAATTACGAGCTTTTTTTGAAAGTCATTGTTGACTAATAATAGTACAAGAGACGATGCAACAGAAGATACACAATTGTGTTGTAAATACGTGTGTCTGAAATGTTTTCTTATGTAAAAAATCACTTTTAAAGAGAATTACCCACACAAATAACATCGGTACGATAACAAGCGCAAGTAAATTTATAAATCAAATAGCAAGTAACTTGTAAATCGTAAATAATAAATTTTATACACTTCGAACTAGATATAATTTATAATTCGTATTATGACACTATTTAACTTTAAATACAATTAAGGAGAAAAACAATGGAAACGTCAGCCGAATTGATTGTGTCTTTCCTCGCGCAATAGCTTATCGAAGTTGTGTGAAAGTAATTCCGCTGTGACCTACTTGCAATTTTCGATAAAAATGCTCGAAGAGAGACGTTTCAAGCTTCGGCGCTATATAAATAAAGAAAGTTTATTCGAACATTAATACATCACAACTTCCTAAAGCGTGGAGTTCGTAGAGAAAGAAAGAGAGAGAGAGAGAGAGAGAGAGAGAGAGAGAGAGAGACAGGGCAATTATTTCGTTCTCAAATATACACCTATTATTTCGGACACGTAATTTCAAACAGCAGTTTGCGAACAAATCCTCTCGACGTTTTTGCAAAACTGTTGAAAACCAACATATTAGAGTTACTCGACCGCTAAAGCCATGATACGAGCTGACTTGCTTTCAAAGGTAATATTAATTATTGTCCACAATACACATTTAACGTCTCATTAAAAAACAAAGAGAGAGAGAAAGAGAGCATTTTGAAATCAATAAAACTTCAGAACTTTTCGTCAGTTTTCCGCGAATTAAATGAGAATAAGCGTATGAAAAAGAGCGCATCCTAAATAAGAGAATATATATACGCATCGCCACTGATAATTATCGCGGACGAGGTAATCTCTTAATCGGATGTGCGGCTCCTGTCCTCTCCTCCCGTAAGAAGAGTACAACTAATATTTTTTGTCGTTTGCCCGTTAAGAGATTAAAGCCAAGGACGTTCGTCCGCTTCGTTTTAGGGCCATTATACTTTTTCGAGAGGGGATAAGGAGAAAGAGAGAGAAAGAGAAAGAGAGAGACAAAGCGAACAGAACGTGTAAGAAGGAGAGAGAGAGAGAGAGAGTGCTGAGCTTGCGGAAAGGGTGCCTGGTGATGCGTACCGTAGCTACCTCGCCAAATGCATTAAGACCACCGTCCCGTCGTCCCTCGCAATATCGAACTGACTGAGCTGCACGACTCGTTGTACGAGAAGCGCGGCCCGAATACGCTATATTCCTCGCACTTCGTTGCGGACGCGAGACGAGAAAGGTCTCCGTCGGCACTCCGTTCCCGTGGGT